ATACAAATTATTCTTTTCTCATTTCAATACTATTAAAAAAAAAAAAAACTTTCTTCAATTGCATTTACAAACCCAAATCCTCTCTTCTTACAAACCCTCCAAAAAAATTTAAAATTCTAAAAAAATCAAAACCTCACAAAACTTATAAAATGTATTTCGTTTCTTTTTTGAGTTACAAAGGCGATTTTAAAGTTTTTTTTCCACACATACATGTTCAATTTTTCGTCACTTTTAGACACCAACTTATCGATTTTTTTTTTGTCTAGAGGTGTGTAAAAGACTAAAATACCCTCTAACATTTTAATATACTCCAATGCCATCCTTTAATTCAATTGGGGAAATATGCAATACCCCCCTCATTTGGAAAATATTTTGATTTAAACCCAATTGACTTTAAAGACTTTTTCCATAACCCAAATCCCAATTTAAATTAGTGAGACCCCCCTTATCAGATATGGTAAGACTAAAATACCCCTATGGGTTAGGGTTTTAATTTTATTCCTCATTTTCACACACACTCTCCCACGTTTACTCTCTCTCTCTCTCTTCTCTTTCTTCTTCTTTTTTTTTTCTTTTTTTTCTTTGCAGAGCTCTCTCCGATTTAGTTGAGTCAGACGGCGGAAGAGAGGAGGCGACGAAGGAAAACTCCGATGTGCAGAGTTCCGCCAGTAGATCGAGGAAGGAGGAGGGAAGTGATAAGGTGCGCCGCGGTACTATGAGTGGCGATGAGCGTGAACACGAGGATCAATCTCGTGCCGTGAAGGAATAATCGCAGCCGTTGGCTGACTTTCTGCAGGCTATCCGGGCTCATAAGCTCGGCTCTGTCTTCGAGCGGCGGCTCCGGAGTCAGGTGACATATTCATGTTCATTATTCTTTTTTTATTTGCAAGATCTTTATTTATTTTATTAGTTTATATTTTTTACGATGATTTTTTTGTTTTTTCACAATGGTTTGGTTTAGTGGTACGGTGCTGCACTACAATTGACGTGCTTTATTTATTTTTCTTATTATTAATTTAAAGATTGTTGAATATGATTATAGTCATATTCGAATATGTTCCATTTTATCGTTTCATGTTGACTTTTAATAATATGATTCAAATTGTGATCTTATTGTAAATTTTTTTTTTTGCGTTACTTGATTCAATGTGTTTTGTTGTGACTGAAATGAATTCACATAATATTATATGAATTGCATTTAAAGAATAGTGCAGATTCATTCAGCAGAATTATTCACATAGTAGTCACATTCTCATGTTTTTTGTAGTGCTGCACATCATGTCGCCAACCTTGATGATTATGTTGAAGTATGGAGGGTCGTTTGGGGTGAAGATATGCCAGGGTGATTTTGTGTATGAAGACCTCGTCAACTCCCATCCCTCTCTCTCGTTATTTTTCTATCTTTATTTATGTATTTTTCGATTTTTTTTTCTAGATCTGTACAGAAGTAGTAACATTACTAGTCATATTCGAATATGACTATAGTCATATTTATGTATTTCTCGATTTCTCTTCTCTTTTTTTTTTTTTTTTTTTTTTGATCTGAAAATTGTATTTTTCAGATCTGAACAGTAGCAGTAACATGACTATTGTCATATTCGAATATGACTATAGTCATATTTATGTAGTGTTTGAATATGATTGTAGTCATATTCGAATATGACTATTGTTGAATACGACGGTAGTCATATTCGAATATGTTCTATTTTATCGTTTTGAAGTTGACTTCTAATAACTAGATTCAAATTGTGATTTTTTTGTGTGGATGTTGATTGGATTGTTTTCGTAAACAATAAGGAACCTTCGTTGTTTTATATAATTTGGTGAACATGACTATACCACACTATATAATCGGAATTGTTAAGTTGAAAAAGTGAAAAACTGCAATATAAAAAATAATATGACTACAGTTAATATAGTCACATATAGTCATATTCAACTATAGTCATATTCGTCTTTGTAAATCTGTCGAGAAAAGAATTTCAATTTTTTCTTTGCAAAAAATAAAAAAAAAAATTTAAAAATCTATTTTTATTAAAAAAATATTAAAAAAATAAATAAATAAATAATGGATAAATAAAATTCGAAAAAATTCGAAAATAATAAAAAAATAAGAAATAAAAAAATCATTTTTTTATTTGGTAGCAAATTTTTAGGGATTTAGAAGCAGATTTTAAGGAATGAATTAGATTATTGTTATGGAAAGAGAGAAAAAAGGGAATAATTGAGAATAATTATGTTAATTGTCATAAGGGTAGATTTGGGAATAAAATTTCTAGGGGGTTATCACAAAGAAAGATTTAAGGGGTGGACATATCACTATTTCTTATCTATATGAGGGGTGTATTGCTAATGACCCCTAAAAAAATTTACTAGTCTACCGGTTAAGCCGAACCGGCCGACCGATCCAGCCAAACAGATTACTCTCACGTCCGGTCTGAGCGTCAGCTCCCTTACCCCACGCCCATATCGTGCGCCAGCTCCCCTAACCTACGCCCAAAACGGGCGTATGAAACCCCAGTCTCACTTTGGGCGTGTGAAATAATTTTGGTTGCCCGTTTTGGGCGTCCCAAAAACGTAATTCAGAAAGAAAGAAAAAAAACACTCCCTAGAATTCCATTTCTAGGAGGTTTTAAAATGTTATTAACGAAATTAAAATCACAATATAAGTAATATATGGTAAAAAAAATTGCCTTCATATTTGGTGAGTTTTTCGGATTTGAGAGGATTGTGATGATTTTGGTGTGGCAATGTGAGTTTTTTCTAAATTTGGGGTTATTGGGAGGTTTTGGTGGGTTAAAGAGAGAAAGAAAGATGTGTTGTGAACGCTAATTAAAATGTAACATAATTACTTTTTGTGTGGATGAATAATTAGTGGGTATTCATTTGGTTGTTACACTAATCAAACCGAACCGAACTAAACCGAACTGAACTGAACCAAACTAAAAATTTCAGTACATGCCGAATACCGAAGCAATAATTCAGTTCGGTATTCGGTGATTTGGTTTCCGAAATTCCAATAATTTGGTTTTACCGAATACCAAGATTTTGTTTTCATTTATATATATATATATATATATATATATATATATATATACTAAAAATAATCAAAATTTTAAATGTTTTAATAAAGTTTCAGTACCGAATCGAACCGCATGTTTCGGTTCAATAAACAGTATAAAACTTTGGCATACTATAATTTTGGTACAATTCGTACAATTTTACCGAATGAACACCCTTATTAATAATACTAGCATTTCTTCCCCGTGCGATGCACGGGATATTATTTCAAGAGTAAAAAAGAATCAATTTATCCATAATAAAAAAATATAGTCCACGAACATAATAAAATTTAATAATGTAGTATTATACATATTTTATATAACATTAGTTTTTTTTTAATCTTAAATATTAAGATTTATAATCCAAATATATATATGGATATAGATTTAACAAATCGAATTTCTATCTTTATCTCTTAAGATTTGAGATATATTGATGAGAAATATGAGATTGAAATTGTTGAAAATTAGTTGAGAAAAAATATTAAAAATAATTTATTAAAGAAATAACACTAGGGTTTTCTAGGGTTGCCCATCGTTTCTTTCTTTTATATATAAGATTATAACATTAACTAGTTATTACGTATTATATAGTAAATTTTGTTTACTTAAAGAATAATGTAAAATAGGTTGGGTCTATCTATTTATTTACCAGCCACGGCCTAGCACCAATAGGCAACGAGGGCCTTCATGCCCCCTACGGCAGAAAAATGCTACGATAAATTGGGCAACCATCCAACGGGCGGCCACCGGTGCAGGTGGCAAGCACAACCAGCCAGCGGCAGTGCTCCAACGGAAGCCAAAAAAATTTCAGTAAAGAAAATAAAAGATAAAAAACGACCCGCTCGGATGGGGCTCGGTCCCTACCCCTATTATCAAAAGAAGAAAATGTAAACAATCAATCAAAGTAACCAAATATAGGCAGAAAGTAAAAACAAACAATGGTGTGCACATTAGTCCAAAAAACAACAATCCAAACACGGCCTTACAAGTCTTGAAATTCCTACAACATCAAATTCACAACAGCAAAATTAAAACAACAAACCTAGAAAAAAAAAAAAAAAAAAAAAAAAACTTCCACCGTTCCAAGTTCGTTCGGTTTTTTTTTTTTTTTTCAATAAAGCAACTCTTAACCGCGTAAAAATTCACCATTAATTACGAACAATATCAACCCTGTAAGTGTAGAGATCATCATTTTGGGGTTGAACCTGCACTCATCTCCCAGCTTGATTCCGTTTGCTAGGCAGAATTCGGTCCAATTACCGGTCAATGCTTTCAGAGAGAATATTGCCGGGTTGAGAATCATCCAGTGCCTTCCCATTGGATCTCTCACCCGTACAAATTTCCCGTACCCGCTCTCTCTCCTCGTCGGATGTGATGGAATGTGAATCGGCAACTCCTGCATTATATAAAAAATATCGACATTATATATATATATATATATATATATAGATATATATATATATATATAGAAATCGCAATAAATCCAGTTGTGCGGGAATTTAAATGTAGATAAGTCTTTTTAATGATTTGGATTTGACAAAGATTTTCTCGAAGAAATTTTCGAAAGACTCAAACGAGATTTGAAATTCGTTCCAAAATAGATTTATTATTATTATATATCAACAAATAGCGTACCAGGAACGATAGGCTTTTTACGACTGCTGAAAATTGACCGATGGCACCGAACGGGACTGCATCGTATAGCAAATCAGGCTCGGGTTTTACCACTAGAGGAGCACTGGTCACCTTTTCTGCATCTTCCGAACAAATTACAGACGATTAAAATTGGCGTACTTTTTTACTTTGAAATATCGAGAAATAAAACGCACCACAAGATACTCCAAGAAAACGATCGGGTATATCTTCCACCTCTACCAGCTCTTTCTTGATTGCGCATTTACCTGTTTATAATTTTGGAAACCAATCAATTTAAGTTACGAGAACTATCTTGAAATATTAAAACGGGACAAACTTCGATATTATACCAAATAGATCTTTGAGCGCTGAGCTGGCGAATGGAGAAGCATATTCCTTCCCAGCAAATACTTCGCTCTTTTCCAACACTTCAGATTATCATCGGTGAAGAAGAATTAGCTCGCGAACGCATGTTATAAAATATTACCAAAATAAAAAAATATATTAATAATAAAGATTGAAAGAAAACGAGTTGTCTAACCATCACGGAAGCTGGAAATAATATTGTCGATCGCATTCTTGCACGAGTTACTTTTATCGGAAGATTCCGCTAGAAACTTATCAGAATGCACATCGACTCGAGTGGCATCCGCCGTAATTTGAGCATGACAGGGGGCTACGTCTTCGCTTTTGATTGGAGTGGCATCCACCGTAAATTCAGCATAACACGAGGCTATTTCTTCGCCTTTGATTGGAGTGGCATCCACCGTAAATTCAGCATCACGCGGGGCTATTTCTCCGCCGAACCCGTTTCCCAAATCGCCCTCACAAATCACATCCATTTCAGCACGAGAAGATTCTTCATTCGTGTCCAACTTGTTAATCTCAACATCCATTTGAACGGGACCCACAATCTTGTTTGGGTCGAGCGCTTCTTTCTTCATCTCGAAGTTCGATAAATCGAATAAAAAACCCCTGTCTTCTCTTTCATAGTGCACGTTATCTCTATCAACCATGCAAGTTAGATCAATCATGCAAGTTAGATCTGCCACGTCAGCATTTTTCTTCTCCACTGGATCGGTTTTCCGTTTACGAGAATCCGGTCCACTAAGCGGTTCCTCCTCTTGGGGGAATGCTGGTGGGTCCGGCCTCGGCCTTTTATTCTCTCGTGTCCTTACTTTGTTGAAGTTGATTCTCTCTAAGGCGTTTCTCCCGTATATTTGAACAACAAAGTGGCTTCCCTCTTTGTAGTTGAATACGACGAAATCTCCCATTTCCATACGATGTTCTTGATAAAACCTGTTCCACCCCTTATGGAGCGAAAGTGAACCATCGAAGTACGAAAAAGTTACGGGCCATTTTTCCCCGTTTGAATCCTCGATTTCAGTTTCTTGATTAGCCAAGTGCACAACTTTTCGAGCAAATTTCCGAGGCAAGTACTGCATGACAGTCATAAATGTTATAATATACATAATTAATTATTTTTTTTAATAGAGAAAAAGGGACAATTCTTAGACGGCAGAACTTTGTCTAGGGAAAGTGAAAAGTCGGGTTTGTCTTAAATGATGATCTAAGACGCCAACCGAAAAAGTATACACGCAATCAATAAGGAGTAATATCACTTGCCGAAACAAGCTTTCCTGTTTTATAAGGCATTGTAATTAGTTTAGACAACGATAAAGATGAATATTAAATGACCAATATTACATTTCAAGTTAAAGATCTTAAAGATTGCTAGCGAATTTTGTTACGTGAAGTTCAAATGTAGTCAAGAATGCACATAAGACGCATACTATTATATTTTATAAAAATCTAAATAAATACAAAATCGAAGTAACAATCTATCTTAGGCGCAATTTCTTAAAAAAATTACCACTCGGAGAAAAAATAAACAAGCTTGACGCGACATACAAAAATAAGTATTATACGAGAGGAGACAACAAAAAAATAAAATAAAAAAAGAAAAACTTTTTTACCAGAACTTCTGTATGGTCTTTGCCTATCATGATTTTGATGAATCGAGTGACTATCGGTGAAACTTCTTTCTGCTTTTCACGAAATGCCTCACGATTTTTCCCGCACGAATCAGGTGCTACCACTCGTCGAACCATCTTATTTTCGCCTTTGGTTAAATTAGTCGCCTAAAGGACACAGGTCAAATGAACGAAAAATGAGATTTGTAGTTCGACCAACACAGAAAAAAAAAAAAATCCTTAAAACAAGAATCAAGAATGCGTTCGAAGCATGTGACGTTTAACAAGATTATAGTTGTGCATGTGTAACCAAATGCGATTAAAATTTACGGGTCGGGAAGGGATCGCACATTTCGTCGTCAATTTCACCGGAAAAGATGAAACAAATATAATCATCCTTAATCTGAAAATTTCCAGACAACTCCAATTCCTAAAACAAGGATCAAGAATGAGTTGACGTTAACAAATTGCGGTTCGATTTAGGGTTTGAACAGGGATAACACATTCAATTACTTTTCTAGAAAAAAAGACGACAAATTTAAGCATCCTTATCTCAGACAAACTCAAATTCCTTAGACAAAGAATCAAGAATGTGTTCAAAAGATGTGATATTAACAAACTTATAGTTGCGTGTGTAGCAAATGGGGTTAAATTTAGGGTTTAAACATTAAAAAATAAAATAAAACAAGAACCTTGCTTTGATCCCACAACTTGAACAAAACCTCTAAAGATTTCGGACAATTAAAAAGAAAAAAAAAAAAAAAGAAACAACAGAAAGAAATAGAAAGAAGAAAAGACTCACCTTTGAATGTGGGTACAACTGACTGAGTAACAAGAGAGAGAGAGAGAAGAGAGGAGAGAGAGAGAGAGAGAGAGAGAGAATGGGAAGAGGCGTTGATTGAAGGTTCACAGGTCAGAGTAAAAACCCTTTGCAGTTTTTGTACTGTTTTTTCTGTTTTCGTGTCTGAGAGCAAAAGTTTGCCATCAATGCTACACGCCACCCCAACTCACCCTGGAAGATTATTTCTTTTTTTTTTTTTTTTTTTTTTTTTTTTTTTTTGAACTTTTATTAACCCTTCTGGTGGGGATTAGGGGTGTAAGTTGGAACATAAATTTCAATTTTCGTCGATTTGAGACAACTTTTCTCATTTCGATTTCAAAAATTTTCCGATTTTTTTGGATTGAAATCTGAGTTGTATAGAAAAAAAATGGAACTTCCAATTTCTAAAATTATTTTCTTTCCAAAATTAATTCAGAAAAATTCTAAATTTTTTTTCGAAAAATGCACTTATAAATAATATATATTATGTAATACTTATTTTAGATGGTTCAAAATAAACTAATTATTTAATTGTATTTATACTTTATGGGCATGTCAATGACTTTCTTATGCTATATGTCACCTAAAAAAAATTAGTTTCTTTTATGTTTGATTTTAATTTTGTTTTAGGATTTTGACATATTGAATTGATGCTAGAAGTTTTATTTATTTTTTTTCAACTGAAATTTAGTAGTTATTAATTTTACTTTTATCGACGTGAACGTGAAATATGTTCTTATTTTTTATGCACTTTTCAGAAAATTTTCAATAAGTTGGAAATTTTAAAAATTATGTGATTTCCAAATATTACGGACCTTTTGAAATTGGGTATGAATTTTTAGATTCTATTTTTTTGGAATTGAAGTTGAAATTCATTTTGTACTTCCGAAATTTTTTAATTTTTTTTCGAAAACGCTAACTTCAGTCCGATGGATCCGACTTTCATCCTTAGTGGGGATAACAATTTTTTTAATGTTTTAGTCCGTCCCAATTTTGAAGGTATAGTACCTCGTACCTATCTATATGTCAATAAATAGGGTGGTTGAGTGTTTCAAAATTTTAGTATTATATTATGAGTTATGGGCATCTCGAATAAGGACTAACAATGGTTATTTGGTACTGCAAGATGACCTAATAGTTGGAGTAAGTGAGTCTTTGTCAATTGACCAATGTCAAATTCCCTTGCAAACGGTCGCTAAGTGGAGCTTGTCACACATGGTTAGCCTAGTGTAATTTACATCTTTCGTATGATTTACAAGCTATTATACGAGAATATAGATTTACCCAATGCACCTACATAGTTGGTTGCGGGTTCCTTCATTACCAAAAACAAAACAATGGGCTATTCGCTCCCTCACTCTTATTTTTTCTTCATCTCCATTATAACCATGTAGTATTAAATAATAGTATCTGATGACAAGCAATGAGATAAAAATATGTATATATTCTTCTCAATAGAGATATGAGTATATTTACACAAATTAATAAGGTATACAAAGAAAACCTAATTACAATTAAGTTAAATTTCTAAATTACATCCTAATTAAATCCCATAATTACGGATACAAATAAAAAAAAATAATAAATAAAAGTTGCTATACTAAGAGCATCCTTAATTGGGAGATCTTTTCTCACAAGCTTGGTCCCAGTTCTTCTCAACCTACCAAAAGTACAAATGTTGCATGCGAGTCGTCTTCAAACAGAGCAATAGAAGGCTGACCTTGAACAGGAGTCGTCCCACATGACACTGTCTTGAGATAATGATCGTGTTCTTTCGTACATGTATTTACGGTTGATCATACTTCTAACTAAGAAGCGGACCCAGGGGGGTTTTCTTGGGGGGCTGAAATATAGGGGTAATTTAAGAAATGATTTTTTTTTGTTTTTAGGACTAAAGTGTACAAAATTAAAAGTTTAGGGGGGCGAAAGTGTATTAACTAATACATAAATACCAAAAAAAAAAAAAAAAAACTTAAATTTTTTTTCTTGGGGGGGGGGGGGACCCCAGCCACAAGCTTGGGTACCCCCCTGCTTGTAAAAAAAAATCCAAATGACCTCCCCCAAACGATTATAGGAAGCTAATGTAACAAACCTTATCTGAGGAAGCTAATGTAACAAACCTTATCTGCAAAATGCCCAAGTATGTACAAAATATAAAAAATTATGCCTGCGTTTTGGAAATGGGGGGATGTCAATGTTCTATTTTATATTCTGGAGCTAATTACAAATACCTCTCATGTGTAATTTCTAATTGGCAAATACCCCCTGTAAAAAAAAAAACTCACCAACGCCCCCTCGTGTAATCAAATTCAAAACTCACAGCACCCTCTATGTTTTTAGGCATGGACTAAAAGTGAAATGACACAAATACCCTACGGGTTTTTCAGCAATTAGTAAAATATATATTGTACATCTTTTGTTTTTAATTTTCAACTCTATTATTAATTTACTTAAACCAAATTTTATTACACAATTATTTTTAATTTCTTTTGATGTGTAGTTATTTTTAATTTTATAAACATTATTATTAATAATTTTGTATTTTCACAACTCTCTCTCGCTAAGAAATGGGTGGTGCCAAACGGTGGCGGTGACTAGGGAGAGAAATTTCAAGGAGTAGGTGGGTAGCGGTGGTGCGAGGTGGGCCAAAAGGTGGCGGTGACGAGGGAGAGAAATTTGAAGGAGTAGGTGGGTGGCGGTGGTGCGAGACAGGCCAGAGAGCGACGGTGGTGCTCGACGGTCCAAAAGGCGGCGGTGGTGCTAGACGGGCGAGAAGGCGGCGGCGATGCTGAACTTTTTCCGGGCTGGGAGGTGGGCGGCGGAGTGGAACGAGGAAGAAGATCTGAAAAAATCTTCAATTTTTGTTCCTTATTGCAATTTTGGAAATTTTAAAAATTACAATTTGGTCCTACGACCACTTAGATTATTTATTTATTTATACAGGGGTATCCATGACATTTCACCCTAGAAATAACATAAAAATTCGCAGAGCCCGCGAGTGAGAGACACGATTTGCCTTAAGGGGTCTAGATGCATTGACTTTAGTTATACAGGGGGGCGTTGGTGAGTTTTTTTTTACAGGGGGTATTTGGCAATTAGAGATTATACAAGGGAGGTATTTGTAATTAGCTCTTATATTCTATAGCAAACTAGCTAATGACTCTATTTATGGGATACAAGAGATCTTAGGGTCAAAATATTTTAATGTGCGCATTATTGTCATTAAAGCGGATGAGGCGCTTTGCGCGAGGTGAATAACACCGAGGCGCTATGCGCGAACGACGTTATATCGAGCAAAAAATAAGTCGTTAAATCGAACAAAAACTGAGTCGTTAAATCGAGCGAAAAATGAGTCGACAAATTCACAGGTTAATAACCTATATTTTATGACTTTAAGTTTCAGGGGTTAATGAATTTGATAATTGGACAGTAACATTTCAAGTGGAAACAACATATCAAGGTGAATTTGACATAGAATCACAAATTCAAGTTTCACTATAAAGGTCCATCCTTTAATTTTCATTTCTCCTATTAATTAGTCCACTTATCATTATTTAACTTCAACATTAATTAACTTAAACATTAATATTAAAACTAATGCAAAGTGAACCAATTGGAGCCCTAAATACTGATACAATCTTTTGGGTATTATAGAATTTTTTACGAAATGTAAGAAAATTAATTTTTAATATTTATTTGCCTATCAAAACCCCAGCACAAGATGACGATTTAAAGATATGAAAAACCATAGTCCTAATCTAACTAGGAAAGATAATTACCTACACTAATTAAATATTTAATAATCCTCATAACCACTAAACATACGGCTACATATATATCCTAAATATATTATTCTAATTAATTAACAATTAAATATTAACTAAACTAATAATTAAATTATAAACTAAATATTATATCAAACAAATACCCATCGCCGAAGAAAATAGTTAAATAGGAAAAAAAAAATTGTCCGATGTTAACTAATGCAAAGTGAACTAATTAAAACATAGTCAGCTAATAAGTGATTCGACGCCTCGTCGTTGGAAAAAAAAGTTAAAATAAAATAAGTTGGACGTCAGCTAATGTTGAAGTCAGCTAATTCATAATCAGGTAATGCAAGTCAACTAATCGTAGTTCCGACGACCAACCGTCGTAAAAAAATAAGATAAAAAAAAAATGATATGTCAACGAATGTTGAGTCAACTAGCCAGAGATCCGAAGAACAGCCGCTGGAAAAAAAAAGATGTCAACTAATGTTAAAGTCAATTAATGTTAAAGTTAACTAATGCTGAGTCAGCTAACCAAAGTACCGACGACCTGACGCCGGAAAAAAAAAAAAGAAAAAAAAAAGAAAAAAAATGAATGTCAACTTAATGTTGAGTCAACTAACCGGAGCTCCAAAGATCCGCCACCAGAAAATAAAACATAAAAGAAAAAAAAAATGTCAACTAATTGAAATTAACTAATGTTGAGTCCGCTAACCGGGGCTACGACCACCCAGGCCGTTGCTGGGATAAAAAAAGTTTAAAAAAAATAATAATAATCAAATAAGATAAAACAAACCCTAATAGAGTTTGCAAGAGTAAAAATGGTATAAGCTAATTATTTGGCGTATATCAAATGAAACTTAGAACTAGGGGTTTAACCGAGCCGAACTCGCCTGTTTTGACAGACTCGGGCTAGAGCTCGAGCTCGAGCCCAAGCTCATTTTGGTGTTCTTTTGTAATTATCAAATTATATTATTAAAAAATATTTAGATTATAATAAAACAATAAACTGTAATTGTATATATTTTTAATATTTATATGTTATTTTACTATTATTTGTATAATATTTTATATTATTATACATTATTTAAATAAAAAATAATAGTTATAAAAAAAAGTTAAAAAAAAATAAAAAGAATAAGGCTCGCAAGCCTGCTCGTGAGCTCACGAACAATTAAGAACAAGCTCGAACTCAAAAAACTCGAGTTTTTTGAGCCAGCTCATTGACCTCACGAGCGGCTCGCCTCCTTTACCACCCCTACTTAGAACTAATGAATTTTACTAAAAAAATTAAAAAAAATTTGAATTTTTCCCGTAAGCTAGTGATGTGCTATCTCAAATAACCCCTGATAAGGGTAATAATAATGCAGGCACCGAGCTTGCCGACAAATACAATCAATGAATCTTGACTTCAAGTAGTAAAGAGCAACAAGTGGTGCTGATAAAATGTAAGCAAAACACATAAGAGCCACAGCCCACTAGTTTCTTCGCTTAAAATATCTTTAGAGAGTAAATACATTATGAATATCTGAAGAGGCAAAGACTGTGTATTGAGAGATAAGAATTTTACAGAGATGGCAGCAGCTTATGCGGCTTTAGTTTCTCTCACTCATACTCTTAATCAGATCCTCCACCCTCCTCCTGCCCTTCATATCATTTTTGATACAGATCAAATTGTATCTCTACGACAAAAAGCCGACTTTTTCGTAGATTTTCTCGAAAATCACTCAAGTACCGAAGGCGACAAACGGATAGAAGACTTGCAGAAGAGGATCGGCGATGCAGCTTATGCAGCAGAATATATCATTGAATTCAATGTGCGCAACCAAATTCTTGCTGGATCTGCTTTTGATAGGGAAGAAACCTCTAATCTCTTGTTTGAAGGTGTACATACTTCAATACAAGAGTTCCTTTTCATTGAGAAAGAGTTGGTGGAATTCAAGAAAGATCATGTGCAACATAAAAACTCCACAAGTACTACAGAAGCTAGTTCATCATCATCATCATCATCATCATCATCATCATCATCATCATCATCATCAAGGCCTCTTCTTCCTATTGGAGAAAACACCATGGTGGGATTCGATGACCACATGGATGAAATTATGGGCGCTCTCTCCACCAACGAATCTAATCTTCGGATCATCTCTATTGTTGGAATGGGAGGCATAGGTAAGACTACTCTTGCCACTAATGTTTATAACAATCCCTTTATTGTGGAAATGTTTGGGATTCGTGCTTGGTTTACGGTCTCCCAGGAATATACCGAGGAGATTCTTCTAGGCCTTTTGCATCAGATCAATAATACAGATCGAAATGCACATGACATGATAGATGATGATGAACTTGGAGATAAATTGTACAAAACTCTATTTGGGAGGAAGTATTTACTAGTAATGGATGACATGTGGGATATCAAAGCCTGGGATATGGTAAAAAGGTTCCTTCCTGATAATAATAATGGAAGTCGAATCTTGGTAACTACTAGGCTATTGAAGTTGGCTGCAGATCTTGGATCTTGTTGCCCTTATCAATTGAGTTTTCTAGATGAAGCACAAAGTTGGGATCTACTCCGCCAAAATATATTTGCAGAAGGACGTTGCCCCATTGAATTGGAGGGAATTGGAAAAAGTATTGCGAAAAAATGCAGAGGCCTTCCATTGGCCCTTGTTGTGATTGGTGGGCTTCTTGCAAAGTCCAAAGCAGAACATTGGAAATATGTTGAAGAAGATGTAACCTCAGCAGTATACAACCAAGATGAGGAGTTCTGCATGAAGATATTATCTTTGAGTTATAATCGCTTGCCTATATATCTCAAGCCTTGTTTCCTTTACTTTGCCGTGTTCCCAGAAGATTATACTATCGAAGTGCCCAGGCTGCTCAAGTTGTGGGTTGCTGAAGGATTTATTAGGCAGTGTGGTCATAAAAGCTTAGAAGACATTGGAAGAGAGTATTTGGAGGATCTTATAGATAGAAATCTCATTTTGGTAAACTCGCGATTGATTATTGGAGAACTGATATATTGCTGTATTCATGACCTTTTAAGTGACCTAAGCAGGAGAGAAGCTCAGAAAGAAAATTTTGTTCTCAGTGGAAAGCTTTATAACCATCTCGATATTTTATCAAATACGGAGATCAGACCAACACGGCTAAGCATTAACGGTGGCAGATGGAAAGGGACAAAACTTATGCCCTATAGATCACTTGTACCTACTCGGTCTTTCTTAAGCTTCTCTAAGGGGGATTTAACTGATTACAGTGCTCATCAGTTTCCGTTACTACGGGTATTGAATGTGGTTGATAGATATCCTAAACATGATGTTCTACAGCTAATTAACTCAAGATATGTTTCTTGCATGGGTCCCATGATGTTGATGTCGTCTTCTACATTATCCCGATTGTGGGGTCTACAAACCATAGTTGTTGAGGGAAAGTTGATTCTACCTATTGAGATATGGCAGATGCCCCAACTTCGACATATTGAGGGCAACCGTATTAATATGCCCGATCCTCCGTCTCCAGATGATGTCCAAAAAATCATACTTCTTGAAAATCTGCAAACACTTTCGATAATCAGAGATTTCAAATGTTGTGAAAAGCTAATCAAAAGAATCCCAAATGTGAAGACGTTGCGAAATGTTTGTCAAACAATTGGATCTAATAATTGCTTAAGAAATATTGGCCTTCTTCATAAACTCGAAGAACTTTACCTGGAGTGTCCTCCTTGTGGTGGAATAATTGTCTTCCCATGTTCACTTAAAAATTTGAGCTTAAGTGGATGCAAGATTCCTTGGGAAGATATGTCCGTTGTTGGTTCTCTGCCCAACCTTGAAAGTCTCCAATTGTGGAAAAATGCTGCTGTAGGCCAAAAGTGGATTCCAAAAGAAGGGGAATTCGCTCGACTCAAGTACTTGTTGATTCATAAGTGTGAGTTGGAGATATGGGAAGCAGAAAATACACATTTCCCATGTCTTGAGATTCTACGTCTTGGATACTTAAACCTTAAAGAGATCCCATCGGATTTTGCCGAAATATTGCCAATTCGAAGGATTGACTTAGATAATAATAGCACCAATGACCTTTTGGTATCTTCTGCAAATGAAATATCAGAGCAGCGAGAGAACATAGGATACGATAGTCTTCAAGTTCAATATAGTACGGTTGGAGCGCTCATAACTTGGGTGAAGAGAGGTACTAATCTTGTTGTTTGTGGCGGCGGTCACATCGGAGTTATTATCACGAGTGGCAATCAGGTTGTTTGTTCTTACTTTGTGATGGTGTTTTCTGTTTATATATGTTATCTTTCTTTCTTCCTTTCTTCTATTTAATGTTCAAGGATCTTGTTGTCTTACCGCATTTAAACATTCTGCCTTTAGAGCGTTCAAATTTACACTTTCGGTTTTAAATCTTTATGACACAGAAGGTGGAGACTCGTGTTGCGACGAAGGATGTTAATCCTGAATGGGATGAGGACCTCACAATTCTTAATCCAAATGAAAGTCATCCAGTTTCTCTGGTGAGGTTCTTTAATTCATGATAGCGTAAATTACACCTATCCTTGAGGTATGCTAAAATAACTTTAAAGTTCCTGTAGTATTAGTAATTATAGCCACACCCCTTAAACAATCACCACAGCCATGATTTCATGTCCTGTGAACAATATGTACTATATTTGTTTCCCGCCGACCATTAATGCTACCATAGACTAAAATTTATAAATGATATATAAAACAATAAGGATTTAAGAAATATTGAGATAATCATGTCATCCCCTAGCTCTATGTTATCTCCATTACTACCTGAAACTAATAGTCCATCATAACCCTAATGGAATAACTTTTCTAATGCGTTATTCCGTTAGGGTTTATAACTATGTTTTAGGGGGTGATTGCATTATCGATACCTCAAGGACCTTAAAGTTATTTTTAGCATACCTCAAGGCTGTAGGTGTAATTTTCCCTTCGTAATAATAACAAATAAAAATTCTGCAATAGTTGTTTCTCACCGTTTTTTCATTGAGTTAAAAACGTGAAATTCAATGTGAATGGCGTTGTTATCAAACAGGTTTGGAATATGATGCTTATCATAGATTTGAAATATGTAGTTCCAAATCAGTACGTAAAAGTATATATATGTTTATGTTGATTCATATTGTACGTATGGTTGTAGATAGTGTATGACGACAACAAGTTGAGCGATGAGAAGATGGGAGAAGCAGAGTTTGATATTGGACCATTGGTACAAGCAGCAAAGATAAATCCAAATGGCCTTCCGAACGATACAATAGTCACACGAATACTGCCTTCAAGCTCCAATTGCCTTGCTAAAGAAAGTTCCATTTTTTGGGAAGACGGGGTAGTAAAGCAGGACATGCGCTTGAGACTGAAAAATGTCGAATGTGGAGAAATAGAAATTCAAATCCGGTGGATTTTTTAATAGAAGGAGATGTGCGCGAGGCAGCTTTGAAAAAAGCATCTGTGACCCGAAAAAAGCTGCTATGAAACAACTAGACAATAGAGCAATATCACACATGTTAGGTACAACCAGTGCATGAATTTTCCTTAGTTTAAAAGGTCATCGAGAAATCACGCCCCCGTTTAAGTATTTTGTCTTATATCTTGGGCGGCTTTGCGAACATTGATTGTTCTCCCATTCATACTCTCCTTTTAATTTCCAGCATATATACAGCATTTGGATTCCATGGGTGTAATATTCAGTCCTTACCTAGTTGATATTATTCTTAGAACATTTTATTTGCCAATGACATGACTATAGATTTAAGAGGGTAATAACAGGGGAAATAATAAAAGAAATTGAATTGGTGAATTGGTTTTTAATTTTTAGTAGAGGTTGAATATAAAAGCTAGCTAATGATTCCGACTTGGTTTTAATTATGAATTTTGTCGGAATTCCACCACTTGACATGTGCATAGTGTCTTATTAATTACTTATCAAAAAAAATAGTGTCTTATTAATTTTCCCTATGTATTATTACTTTTGCATTTCTCTTAGTTATGTTTTTATCAAAATAATAGTACAAGTGTAATTTATGTGAATACATGGTGACATCGATAATTTCTTTTCGTAGATATAACCTAATTTTATTTAAGGGAAAATTAACAAGAGCCTCCATTTGGAAAATTTATGTAGAAGAGGACCCCCTATTTTTCTTTTTCTTTTTTATTTTTTTTATTTGAGAGAACCCCCCTTTGCCGGTTTATTCTATGCTACATCGGGTGAAATACACCAGTTAGATCTTTACATTCATATACACAGAAACACAAACACATCCACACCCACATTGGTGTGTGTAGATCAACGATAAAAAGACACCCGGTGTAGTCTTCACCGGGTGTAGCACAGAATCCCCTTTGCCTTTAATACAACATTCCTTGCAAATTTAAATTGTCTTATTTACCCTTCCCATAACCCTAATCTCATTATGCTTCTCAGTCTTCTTCCTTCTCTATTTTTTTTTTCTCTTTTCTCTATAGATTATCCTGTCTCGATTCAGAGATGAAAAACCAATTCTACCGGCGCCGCCATAACAACAAATATGCTTCTCTTTCTCCTTCGCCGCCTCTAGCCCAATGTTTCGTGCTCTTTGTCGCGCCATCGTACAAGATCGACCGCCTAAGAAGCCAATGGATCCGCCACCAAACAAGCAGTCCCACCACCACCATCTCCTTCGTATCCATCTAGAGTGCCTTGGAAGAGAACATACGTGTGGATCTTAGAGTATGAGAAACAGACATAGGGGAAGCAACGGCGGCGAGAGCACTTGAACTTGACAACGACGAATCTAGGGTTTTTTCGCTAGATTGCATTGAGGACATCGTCGGCGGAGGTGGGGGATGGTGATGGTGATGGTGTGGTGTGGTGACGGCGTTGTGACGATGGGGAGCAAATCTAGGGTTTTTTGGGTAGATTGGATCCTTACTCAATTGCTACTGAAAAACACAGTCGATTAAGGTTAATCAACTACCTTCATCAGTCGATTAAGGTTAATCGACTGCATTTTTAATTAATTTTTGGATTTTGTTTATTGATTCCTTATGTTGTCACATGTAGTTGGACTTGGAGCATAGCGGTGGTGCATTTTTGTTCTGCCATTGTCAATCCTTCATCCAATTTGTATAAACTGATTACGATTTTTATATATTTGTTTTCTTTGTGAAAAATAGTTGATTTTCGTTTTTTATGTAGTTGTGTTTTGTTATTTTTTGTGGTTAGTTGTTTGAATTTTCTTTTTTTGTAGAATTGTGTTGGGTTTCATTGACGGTATTATGGTTGTTTTTGTTACTTTTAGTAGTCAATTTTGTTATTCAACAACGATTTTAGTTCTCAATTCCTTAATCGACCATGCCTTAGTTGTCGATTAATACATCTGACAATAAAAAAAAAGTTAAAAAAAGAAAAAAAAATTATAAAAAGATAAAATAAATAATAATAATAAATAGAAAATAAAAACAAAATTAAATTATAAAAAAAAAAGGAAAACCGAAAATGGGGATGAGAGTTGTGGGAAGAAGGTAATGGAATGGCAATTTTGGAATTAGAGAAAAGATGAAAAAAAGTATATGTTTATATCAAAGAGTGAAATATGGATGGTGCTTTTCTCTATTACTGAAAAGTTTTAGGAAGTTTTCTCAAATATTGAAACCTGTTGAGAAACTAGTAAATAATATACAAGAATAAGAAAACAATGTAGGGAGAATATGTAATATGTTATTTCATCTCTTCAAGTGTACAAAATACAATACATTGCACCTAATTTATAGGTGTAGAATAGCTAGTCAAAGGTCATGTGTTACAAGAATTTAATGATGAATAATGGTGGAGGTAATGTGGGTTTAATGGAGAGTGTAATGGTGGTCATCAATAACCTCCAAGAATTCATAATACTCCCCATTGTATGTCCACCATTTATGGAATATGCCTCGCTAAAACCTTGTTAGGAAAACCCGATGGGACAAAACCTAAACGAAGGAAAAAAAAGTACATATCCATCTGAAGCTTGTGCGCGTGCCACTGCCTCGTTAAAACCTTGCCAAGAAAAACCCTATGGGACAAAAACTTGGACGAAGGAAAAAGAGTACAGTGTTGCCGTTACTGATCACGCTCCCCCTGATTTCGACATATATGACTTTTAATCATCTTCGCAATGATATAGTTGGCAATACTCCGATAAATGAGTATGGTAATTTATTGTTTGACGTTGATATAGCCAACTATATCCGCTTTAAGATCCACGAAATTTTCCATAAAGATAGTGTAATACACATTTTACACTTTTTGCAAATTTGTAATTCTTTCATTATCTTCTCGAGGGCTTAAAAGATCTTCAATTATATCAATTGATTGGACAAACATAATATCACTCAATAGACGAGTCTTATCCATTTCTTATTTGTATTAATGGATACATTTCATTTGATATATCTTCTTTTCGAGATGCATTTTGCCCTTCCAATATTTTTCATATCAAATTATGTCACCAAATAATATATAATTGACCGTATTTGTGAGCTCTTCGTGAGTCTCCACAAGATTTAGATCATTCACATCTATACCATGATAATGGTAAGTCAAATTATTTGACCATTCACAAGGTATTCACTGAGGCGAATATACCATATTTTGAAGATAATATGTAAATGGATCATTTCTAGAGTCTAACTCACGAGACCTCTGATTATATGCACAACGCATTATCAATTCTTCATTAATTTTATGATCCATATAGATATGTGGTCATTGCATCCATATGATGCATTCCAAGTATTTTGAATGCCATCATAATGTGATTGCATCATAAAAATATATTTCTCAAAAGGCATTCAAATTTACCGCAATGATTTTACCCACTTTTGTACTAAAGGCTCCACAACTTATGTGTGTTGACTTCAAATGAATGTATAATTCATTTCATGTATAATTTCAAATACTCATTGTCAATTGCATTTGTTAATGACCAATTAGATGTTGACATCTATTTAGATTTATGAGCTTCAAGCTCTTCACATTATAGAAATAATTGTACATGTAGTTATTCGATAACATCTTTAGTACTCCCCATAATTCTTTATAATCAATCAAGAGCTCACTATTTTACTTTCCGGTACCAGATTCTCCTTAGAGAATTATATTCATATAAATGGGGATTGTAGCCTTTGTGGGTACGATCTCTTGTAGAGATCCATATCTTTTCATGTACCATGTATTTTTCTTTTATAGAAGATTTTCTATATTGCATCAATAAAGTTTTCATAATACTTTATGTGCTTGAGCTCATTATTTATTTCAATAAAAATGTCCTACATGGACAAAATGCGCGCTTTTGAGTTTCACAATGTGGAAGGAGTATTGAGGACTACTTGTCCACTTTATTTTCAAACTCAATATAAACAAATTCAATTTGGTACATAAATATTCATTCGAAAAGAATTTTCAACTCTTTAAGATATTATATCGGTACAACAACAAAATTGAGAACTAATAGTCTCAAATGCCTCTCTATTCACTTAGAGAGCAAGCTAACCATGATTTATTTGCCAATCAACTCTTTATTAGCACATAATGGTTCGATTTACAATGGTCTTGGTAGCTACCATATAATCATCAATGATTTTCTCATCCAAATATGTATTTCATTTATGCCACCATAAGTGGCAAGTATTCTCATATCATAGTGATGGATATTGGTGTTGAGGCGTCCCCCAACATCGTCTTTAAGACGAATCCTTTCATCGAATGAGATAAGTATAGATGAGAGTATGAAGCTACTAACGCTAGTAGACTTTAATTGAACGGTATTCACACCACTTATAAGTGTGTTAATCATTCGAACCAACATATATATCTCCCCCTCTTATATGCATAAATTATAATTGGTTAGTTGTGTACCATAATCATTTTTCACCCATTTAGGGGATTCATGATGCAATCACAATGTGAAATTTGTCCTTCGAGGACATTCGTTTATAAGCCTTTCATGACAAAATCTAATGTGCAATGTGTCCTTCTTGGACATTTTCTCTTGCACTCATTTGCAACATATGTAATAATTTCAAGTTGTCATTTTGTCGATAAATGCATCTAGCATTTTACACATTAAAATTGTTGCAAATGAATTCTTTTTTCTTTTGTGCTTAAATATTTCCATGCACAAATCTAGATGAGACAAAGATCATTTCATATAATTCATGCCGTTATACAAGAACCGGCTTCTTATCTCCCCCTTAACATCGGGAAAATTGTCTCATTAAATTGGCAATTCATAATGTATGCCATAGAAATATCTCCCATTAGGGGTGCAAAATATTGCATAGCATAAATAATAAATAAACCATGTGATATAGCATGTTATATAGATGAAAGTAACTAAGTTTGAGAATCTTACAGGTTTGGTACACAAATGATCAAATTTCTAAATTTTGAAAATTCAGGGACCAAACTGTAAATTTTGAAACTTTAGGGACCAAACTATAAATTTTGAAAACCTCAGGGAAAATTGAAAATGCTGAAATAGATTCATAATTGCAGATAATGAAAGGAACCAGCTGCATATTCTGAAAAATATTTGGATTGAATCATAAAATTTTCAAATTTTGGGGGACTAAAATGAAATTTTTGAAAAAAATGAAGGAGTAAACTGTAAATTTTGAAAAATTAGAATATGCAGAGGGTTTGGAATTCTAACAAGAAAATCAGATCCCCTTTTTTCGTTTGGTTAAAAATTTCATCT